TAGGATTTCCTTTATACCGGTAAATACTTTATATAAGCATAATTAGAAATTATTTTGACTAGTTGTTGTTGCAGTAACGATTTGCCAATTAAGGCAGACAAAGTTTTTTTTTATTTTTTTATACCATATAGCCTATAATAGCCGATGTGAATTTTGTTCAAACTGGAATATCTCTAATTCCTTACTTGCTGCAGTAGTATGACTGAAAAAAAATTGTTCAGGATTTCAAACTCTATATTTTTACATATTTTTCATTTATATACACAAGAAAATAATGTCAACAAAAACTTTGTTTGGGGGTTCGCCATTTTCCTTTAATTTACGTCCCTATTTTTAAAAAATCGATTTCCGCTTAGTGACGTTTCACTCCATTAAATTAGCTCTCTATCATAGTCCTATAAATTATTAACAAAGGTGTTCTCGTACTGACATTTTGCTATTATAAATAATTTACGAGTGTACATTGTGTGTCAACAAGCCTTCCAAACATGTAAGTTTTCTTTTTTTTCGGGTGTATGTTTTTTGTATGTATGTAACGTGATTATCTTTGCAGATTTTGAATCGATTTTAAAGGCTCTTTATTTATTAAATAGGCTTTAAATCAAGAGGCCATAAATTTTTTAAGAAAATATTCCACCCCTAACGGTGGAAAACAGGGGAGTTGTTTAATATTTTACTGTTGTTTAAGGAACTTTACAAGCTATAAGGGTGTGAAATAGGGGAAGAAATCTCATATTCGATTCTTGTTAAAGTAATTTTTGATTTTCACTTATGTTTAACTCATTCTAAGGAAACTAGGCGAAGTTTACATAACACAAAAGAACAAGATCGCAACTTAAGTCCTACTCCAAATTGATTGCGCTTGATTGCTACGAAATCCCCTATTTCATACTTGCAGCTTTCTTTTCTATGCTTATTAAAGTTTCTTCTATTTTCTTCTTGTAATTTCAATATGTGTTGTTTGGCTTTCACTCTTAAATCTTCTCTGTTTCTGTTATACTGTTCAACCTCTTCACTCTGTAAAATTTGTATTATTTCCAAATCTTCCTTTTGTCTCAAGTTTGTACCAATCATTAGTGTGAATGGAGTTGTATCAATGCTCCTATGGTATGTGCTGTTCAAAGCTCTCTGTAATCGACTTACATGCTTATACCATAAGGAAGGGTCTTCAATACATGACTTTGTCAAAACTGAGATGATCGTGCGATGCACACGTTCCACCTGTCCATTTCCACGTGATACTCCAGTTGTTATATTGATATGTTGTATACCTTCAATCTCGCAAAACTCTCGAAAATCATGTCCTGTAAATGCGGTAACTTTGTCAGTTATTATTCTGTCTGGGTTGCCAAAATGTTGTTGAAAAATCTTTAATTTGTCCAATGCTTAATTACTGGTTGTGGACTTTGTTGGAAATATCCATGTAAACTTGGTGAAGGCATCAACCATTCATCATCATCATCATCATTACAGCCCTTCACAAGTCCACTGCTGAACATAGGCCTCCCCCAAGTAATGCCACAAAGCACGGTCCTGAGCCACCTGCATCCATCGACTTCCTGCATATCTTACCAGGTCGTCACTCCATCTAGTGGGGGGTCGCCCTACACTACGCCTACCGGTACGAGGCTGCCACTCGAGAACCTTTCTTCCCCATCGGTTATCGGTTCTTCGAGCTATATGGCCGGCCCATTGCCACTTCAGCTTACTAATCCGTTGGGCTATGTCGGTCACTCTGGTTCTACTGCGGATATCCTCATTTCTGAGTCTATCACGCAGAGAAACTCCGAGCATAGCCCTCTCCATAGCTCGCTGAGCGACCTTGAGCGTCCTCATACGGCCAGCAGTGAAGGACCACGTCTCTGATCCGTAAGTCATCACTGGCAACACGCACTGGTTGTACACTTTAGTTTTCAGAGATTGAGGTATACCTGACGAGAAGATGTGTCGTAATTTCCCGAACGCTGCCCAGCCGAGTTGAATCCGTCGATTGACCTCTCGGTCGAAGTTGGACTTACCTAGTCGGACTATTTGTCCCAGGTAAACGTACTCGTCAACAACTTCGAGCATAGTGCTCCCCACAACTACCGGCATAGGTGTGACATGGACATTGAACATAATCTTTGTTTTGTCCATGTTCATCTTAAGACCTATCCGTTGGGAGACACCATTGAGGTCATTGAGCATAGTGCTAAGGTCCTCCAGCGATTCTGCCATAAGGACTATATCGTCGGCAAATCGAAGGTGAGTGATGTACTCGCCATTGATGTTAATACCGTATCCTTTCCAGTCCAGTAGCTTGAAAACGTCTTCCAAAGCAGCGGTGAAGAGTTTCGGGGATATAACGTCACCCTGTCTTACACCTCTCTGCAGTTGGATAGGTTTCGAGCTCTGGTTCTGTACTCGGATAGCCATCGTAGCCCTACTGTACAAACACTTCAGCACTTCGATATACCGACAGTCAACTTGGCACCGCTGAAGGGACTGCAGCACCGCCCAAATTTCGACGGAATCAAAGGCTTTCTCATAGTCCACATACGCCAGGCAAAGTGGCAAATTGTACTCGTCAGTCTTCTGTACAATCTGCCGCAGGGTATGTATGTGGTCTATGGTACTGAAGCCTTTTTTTGCCGTGCAGTGGCGGTTAAGAATATCCACTACCCCATATCTTCCCGTGGGTGTCGTAAAAGGCGACAGAGGGAGACGTGCAGGAGATGGGCAGCAGCATCTTCCTGATAACAGCAACTGTACGATAAAAAAAACTGCGGTTGCCAACCCGCTCGCCAAGCGTGGCAACTATGGCAATATACCCCCCCCATCAACCATTGTCAAAATGTAATTATACTGTTTTTTAGTTTCCATTAGAGGCCCAATATAGTCGATATGCAAAGTATATAATGGCATACTTTCTTTTTCCATAGGGTATAAAAATCCTTCTTGTTTTTTCAGATTTTCTTGTTGCCAGTAAGCATGGTATGTATGTTGTCATGAAGTCTTGAAATTTCTTACCCAACTGATGATGTAATAGCTGTTCCTTATGATTTCTTTCATTTTCTTGCATGAAAAATGACCAATACCATGAGTTCTTTTTATTATTTCTTTTTCCAAAGTTTTTGGTATTACCAATTGTTTCAATTCTCCTTTATACAGCAAATCATTTTCGATGCAATAATCTTGGTAAGAACCATTCTTCAATATTTCTTTGATAGCTTTGAGGCCTTCATCTTGGTCTTGCATTTGTCTGATTTGTTGATGCATATCGGTGATCAACATCACTGTAGGACAATCACGGCTGAGTGCATCTGTATGTTTCATCTTCGAACCTGCTCGGTGCTCTACAGTGAAATCAAATTGGTCTAAAAATAGTACCCATCTCGCTACTTTAGCTGACAAATCTTTTTTCGTCAATGTTTGTTCAAATGCTCGGCAATCTGTAATGATTTTAAACTTAATTCCATGCAAATAATGTCTAAATTTCTTTACACCTTCAATAATAGCTAGTGCCTCTAATTCGTAACTTGAATACTTTCTTTCCACATCATTGGTCTTTCGACTCATGTAGTAAACTGGATGCCATCTGTGATGATGAAATTTTAATAATATTGCTGCATACGCTAAACATGAAACATCAGTGTGTAATTCTGTAGGCAAACTACTATTAAAATTTTTTAATACTGGATTACTAGATAATTTATACTTTAAGATATTAAACGCTTTTCTTTGGTCTTCACCAAAACAAAAATGAGTATCATTTTTGAGCAAATTTGTCAATGGCTGTGCAGTCAATGCATAGCTCTCTATACTACTGCATCAGTCTTTTCTGGACTAGGTTTTACCTCTCCATTCTTGACATGTCCCAAATATTCTATTTCCTTCTGGACAAGTTTAGCTTTCTTCCAGTTTATCTCCAGTCCATATTCAGATGCCACTTCAAGCACCATTTGCAAGCGTTGTACTGCCTGGCTTTCATCGCTAGGTGGAAATAAAATATCGTTGATAAAGATTAGAATAATCCCCTTACTTATTAAAGCTCTGAAGATAATTGAGACAAATCGCATGAAATTCTTTGGACAAACTGAGAGTCCAAAGGGAGCTCTCAAGAATTCGAACTGGCCATGATGCCTTACGAAGGAAGTATAGGGTATAGATTCCTCGCTTACTTTTAAATGAAAAATCCATTTTTCAAATCTAAAATACTGAAGAATTTAGAGTCTTTCAATTTATCAATTAAATCCTCTATAATAGGCAAGGAAAACTCATCCTTCACAATTTTTCTATTTAGTGCCCGGTAATCTACACAAACTCTAGTTGTCCCATCTTTTTTTTGCACTGGAACCACTGGACTAGAATACTCAGAGAAACTCACCCGGATAATCTTCTTATCTAGCCATTCAGATACCTGTTTTTCCACTATTTCTTGCTCTTTTAGAGATAATCTTCGGGGTCGATGCGTCACTGGAATGTCGTCTTTCAGTACTATTTTTAACTGTATGAGAGCTTCTTTTTTCTGTACTGGTTGTCCATATTGATAGATTAACTGATGTACTTGCTTCTTCAACTCAGGATCTGTCATGGGACCTACAGAAGAAGCATGGTCACACTTATCAACAGTCATACATTTCATCCACTCGTCATCTTTCAAATAAAACCTCACTGCAACATCTTTCATTACATAATAACATTTTTCAGAAAATCATGACCTATAATTACATTATACGGTACATAGTCGCTACTAATAATGTGGAACACACCATCGAAATGTTGATCATCAGCAATAAATTGTAAATAACACTTTTCTAATGATTTAACCTTACACTGTCCAATACTTGATAAAATAGTATTGTCATTTTTCGTTTTTGGCTGACCTAATGCCTTGTAACACTCTGATAAAATTATGTTAACGTCTCTGCCTGAGTTGACTAATGCTTTAACACTAAGATTGCACACAGTTATCATTTTCACTGGTTTGAAGGTATCCGTTTTGTCGGTGCAAGTATTGTTTACAATCTGCACAACCTCTCCGTTGCTTTTTCAGAGTTTGACATTGACGCTACTGTCAGATGCGGGCCGTCATGGCTGCCAACATAGCCATCACACGACGAATGATCATTCACTTCCTGCGAATGAGTTGTTGATTCTACCGTTGACGTCATTGATCGTCCGAACATAATGCGCTTCAACTTCATGTTGTCACTTTGCTGCTGCCTTCGTTCTTTCTCGGGTACCGCCGCCGGATAACGAAATTTGCCGAAAGTTGCCGAATGAAGTCGGCTTCCGCCGCTTCGTCTATGCTCGGGCATTGTTGTTTCGTTTTGAACCTGAATGATTGAATGATGCATCGGGCATGACGTAGCAATATGGCCGAACTGGTTGCATTTAAAACACTTTAATCCCTTTTCTTTATATGGGCAAAATGCAGATGTATGATTCATCTCGCCACAGCTAAAACAGCGATTCTTTTCGGATGGTTTTCGTCGACGACGTTGTTCCATTTTACTCCTTACAGTTTCGTAATTACGAGTACGTAGCTTTTCTTTTAATTCTGCGTACGTAGTTACACCATATAGCATTATCTTATTTGTCTCCAGATCACGTATCCCATCGACAATATATTTGATTGCCACGTAATCTGGCATTTTCCCTCTCTTTCCCAACTCTTTCATAGTCAGCATATAATCCAAACAGTTTTCATTGTCTTTCTTCTAGCGTGTGCTCATCGTTTCGTGTATGGTTTTGATGTCGACAGAATCAGGAAATTCTTTCAATACTGCAACTTTTAGGTCATCCCACGACTTAAACGGTCATTCCGCACGGAGCCAAAGCGCTGCCGTGCCGGTCAAAGAGCGCCTCGCCACTAATAATTGCTGCAGTGCAGTCCAGCCGAATATTTCAGCATTATCTTCGATTTCCTGCGCCCATTGTGCCGCTGTGAATGTACCGTCTTATCCTGAGTAGCTTGGTATGTACTCCGAAGTCATTTGTAGCATGTTGCCGCGAAAGTCAGCTCGTGCGCCGATGCTATCTTCGAAATCATCCTGGCGACTTTTCCTGCGCTCTTTTCCGCCTTTGCTCATCTTGGTGTAGGTACTCGTCTTTGTTTCGTCTTCTTGTAATAACTTCACCAAAATGCCGCCCCGTCTTTGCCACTGCCACGTGAAACCACGTGCCGTCAGCCACCGGATATTTCGCCTAAAACTCATACACTGTCTTCTGAGGGATTTTACTGCACAGATCTCGGACGAGCTCCCAAAAATGTAGTGTTGACCGTGCTGTAAAACCAGAAATATCTTGTAACACTCTTTATTTAAATTTAATAAATTTTTGCGTGCGCGTCTTTACAAGCGTCTTTTCCTCCATCTTGCTTTTTTATCATTCCCACTTACTCACTCACTATCATTTTTTTACTCATTCGTCATTCGCTCCGTTCCTTCCAGATCACTTCATTACGCTGCGTTCCATCCCATATATATATATATATAAAGTATATAACAAAAACCCTGTGGTTCCCGTTAAGTGTGTTATCAGAATCAGGCCAAGCGTATAGAAACATTTTTTTTTCAAAAAAACGCATTTAATTTTTTTTTATTTTAATGAAAAAAAAATATTTTGCAAATTGCATGTGGTTTTATTTCTTCTAACTCACACGAGTATCGGTAATGCGGGGTCTTTGACAATCCTCTTACTCCTCGGCCAATGCAAAGATAATAAAACCACATAAAATTTGCAAATAATTTTTTTTAATGAAAAAAAAAATTAAAGCGTTTTTTTTAAATTATTTCCATGTGCTTGGATACTGATTCTGATAACGCAGTTAATATAAACGAGACTCCTAACTAACAGCGTTAGAGTGCCTACGAAGGTGCGAAATATATTCATAGAGTATGTAGACAGCTATGTCTATCTTGGGCAGAACATTTGTTTTTTCAAGCCAAACGGAAAATGAAGTCGACCGCAGATTAAAAAGTGCTTGGAGAAAATACTGGTCACTAAAAGAAATATTTAAGTCTCCTATACCGACGCGACTAAGAAAGAAGGCAATAGATACTATTATTCTACCAACACTACTCTATGGCTGTCAAAGCTAGGCACTAACAAAAACAATAATAAACAAAATTCAGGTCTTTCAGCGTGCAACAGAGAGGAACATGTTAGGTCTTAAATTACGAGATAGGCAAAAAAAAATAAAGAAATAAGAAAAAACACAAAAGTTATAGATGCTGCAGAGTTAGCATGTAAATTATAATGGAGATGGGCAGGCCAAGTTGCAGGAGCTACAGATGGACGTTGGAGTGAGAGAGTCTTCCAATGGTACCCTCGCGAAGTGCCACGGACACGCGGTAGACCCAGGCGTAGGTGGTGTGATGACATTGTGGCCACAGCTGGACACACCTGGATGAGACTCGCACAAGATAAACAAAAATGGCAAAAGATGGAGGAGGCCTTCACCCGCAAATGGGTACCCAAATAAATAATATATAATATCAAATCCTAGGAAAAAGTAAAAATTTGAATATTATGTTATCATGACCAATCTGCTGTAAATTGATCTTCATAACATGTTATAATTAACCACTACATATCTTATTATTAGTATTTGATTTCAATTGTTTGATTATGTATTTTCTTTTATTATTTCATATTTGATAATTTAAAAATGTGTTAAATTGTTATTTGCTTTTAAAAATTAAAAAAAAAATCTAAATGTTAAAATTTTCTTTGAAGCATGATTGGTTTTGTGAATGTAAATGAAATTTTGTAATATATTTAATTTTATGTAATTCTATTTTGGGAAATAAAGGCTTAAATAAATAAATATATATATATATATAACTATTTAAGCCTATAACTCCATGGCAAAGTTTTGTAGCGTGTATCGACTTCTATGATTTGTCTTGACGAGATCTAAATCAGATCTCTTTTTGACTTTTAACTACAGGTCAGATAAAAGGTTTTTTTATTTCTTATTATGTACGCTAACGTTTATTCATTGACGTATATAATTTTATTTTATATATTTAAACAGCCTAATCAGATGAGAATATTGTATATAAACCCAACCCCATAAAATAAAATATTAATATTACTCTGATACGATTACAACGATTTGAGAGAAATGTTACAGTTTGTAAATTTCGTCGCATTATGGATATAACGCTTAATTTTAAACGGTACATGAAACTTTTTTTAACTTTATAAGTGATAGAGCCATGCTGCAGTTATATTAGTAGTATAGTTGTAGCACGAATGGGTTGGCACGACCTGGGAAGGACCACGATCTCACAGAATATCAGCCTAAAATAGTAGCTTAATGCTGCTGTGTTTCGTATGATGAGTGTAGAAAACCGGAAACCCTTTTTACTGGAAACGAGGCATTCCATCTTAGTCCTCACGGGTGACAACGCATCTGCTTTTTGATTTGTAATCGATGATAGATGTAGATGTATATGGGCCGCAGCAACCACTTACCACCAGGTGGACTGTGTGCTCGTTTGTCACCCTATCCTATAAAAAAATTGTAAAATCTGCAAAAATATTAATAGCCCTTTCAAAATCATTTTACTAGATACGTCTCCGTAATTGCGACTCGCTTGTCGCATAGCGTCTAATTGAATCAATCTTAGATTTATTTGACAAACACTCGTGTATCAAGCGGAGTCGATAAGAACGTTACTTTTCAGTTTCGTTTGATAAACCATCGTGTATCAAGCTGAATCGGTGAGGTTGTTGCTCTTCAGTCTCGTTTGATAAATTCTCGTGTATCAAGCTAATTCGATGAGGACGTTGCTCTTCAGTTTCGATTGATAAACGCTCCTGTGTCAAGCTAAGTCGGTGAGGATGTTGCTCTTCCGTTTCGTTTAATAAGCTCTCGTGTCTGATACACTTAGCTGAGAGCTTATCAAACGAAACGGAATGAAATCTCTTAACACGATGTCCGAGACTTTTATTACGGTTAGTGAAATTTGCGTAAAGTCTCTTTTGAGAAAAGTCTATAACCACTCTGCTCATTCCAAAAGTCTTTTGGAATACATTTTGAATTTTTATCCTTTTGCTATCTCAAACGATCTTTCATTTGGTTATTTGTTTGCTCCAACTGACCTTTTAACTATGAGCCGTAATATCTAAGAGCTTGATGTAAATTTCACAGTACGCGAGCAACCCGAGTTCAATCACTGCAATACCAATTAAATTTGTAATGGCAATTTTAAATGCTGATTTACCACGTGCTCGGTGGTAAAGGAAAATGTCGTGAAGAAACTTGCATGTCTGAGAAAGAAGAGAAAACATTTCGAAAACATATGGAGTTTGCCAACACACATTGGAGCAGCGCGACGAACATTTTCTTAATTTATGTTGTTATCAAGAAAATGCTGCTGCCCATATCCGATATCAGTTTCCCATCTGTCGCCACCTACGATACCTAAGTGACGATATGGGGTAAGAGATATTCCCACACTGTCACTACAGGCAGAATCACGTATCTATATATTTATAATGAAAGAGGAAACTTTATAGCCTTTTTGAGCATATTGCACGCACGAAGAATTGTTAGATTTATCATAGTTAAAATTTACGAGTGTAAGGAGTAAGGTAATATATTATATGTTGCAAATGCATTATATTGTTGCGCGCCTAAGTTGACGGCTGGTACCTGGCACTAGCACCATCTAGTGTCGGGTAACAGAGCGAGGAGAGCTTTCCAAAAAATGCCATGACTAATCTTTCAACCAACAGCTCCATCTAGTATCGAATTGAAGAACTAAGCTTTCTAGAAGCCCCACACTCGAACTTTCTGCGCCTGGTCGGTCGGGGCCCCTTATTTACTGGAATATTCTGGATGTTTCGGTAGAAAATGTGTATTTAAGCCGCTGCAAGCCGCGGTCGGGGCAGTATTGAATTTGGCGAGACAAGCGAAGCTTCGGAGCGAAATAAAGTGAATCAGTGTGATTAATTATTAGTGTTTTAAGTTTTAATTGGTGTTCGGTAATAAAAGTGTAAATTTTGGTAATTCAATCGGCAGTTTTTATTGTCACGAACCTCAAGCTCGTAACAATTGGTGTCAGAACTGGGATAAAATCATGCCGATTTTACCCAAGGAGGAAACGGAGGGTGTCCGTACCCGAAGTCAACGTCAGCAGGAGACGGACCAGAGAAGATTTGGCGGTGCAACGCCGCAGACGTCGGGGGGCTAACTGCCAACCACGGAGGCTGACCCGTCAGCAGCTCCTACACCTGCAGCACCTGACTTAGGTGCTCTCATGATGATGTTGCAGGAACAGGCCCGCCAGCAGGCGGAACAGGC